GATTTTTAGGTTTGGCCTTTTTATTATTTTTTTTTTAGGCTATAATTTTATATACGATTTATTTTTTATATTTTGTGGTGTTAAAAAAAAAAAGGTTTTTTTAAAAAATTTTTTTTTTTTTTTTTTTTTTTTTTTTTTTTGGTTTTTTTTTTTAAAAAGTGTTTTTTTGGTTGGGGGGTTTTTTAAAATAAAAAACATTTGTGGCGGCTGGGTAAAGAAAAAATATTATACTAATACTATCGACAAGGAACTTGGAAATGAAATTCGCAAAGAAGCATCATTTTGGAAAATAGTTCTTCAAAGGTTATTTGATATCATACTTACCCTAGCAAAGAGTACTTTGGCTTTGAGAGGACATCGAGAAGACTTAAAGCAAGAAGGATACCATGGAAATTTTCTGCCTTTGTAGAGCTTGTCGCCCAATATGATCACATTTTGCGGCAAGTTTTGAATATGCCCAAAGAATAATAATAATTATTATTATTATTTATAAGTTTTTTAATTTTTTTTTATATTTGTTAACTGTTTAATATCAGGACTTTTTGGAAATTATGTTTTTTTAAATGTTTTTAGGATATGCAAGATATCTGAGTGCAACAATTCAAAATGAAATTAATATAAGCTTGGGGACCAAACTCGAAACCCATCTACGAGAACAAATTAGGGCGTCACCGTTTTTCGCCATCATAATTGATACGACACAGGACATATCGAAGGTAGATCAGTTACGCATTGTTGTGAGGTATGCAGTAATAACCAGATCGGAAAATGGACAACCAATTGATATAGGAGTAAAACAAGTGTTTCTAGGCTTTTATGCAGCCATCAAACATGGCGCAGGGGAGTTAGTCAACCAAGTGACATTATTTATCGACAAAAATATTGATTTAAAAAAGTATTGATTTAAAAAATTGGGGGATGAGTCGCTCGCGTCCGTAGGCTTCGACTACCTAACCTTAGGCCCACCCTACACGTGTCCCCCGGGTGGTGCTAAACGAGCGACAAAGCCGAAAAAATAGACTCGGCTCCTCGCCGTATGGTAGCGGCGTAAAATCTACCACCACCTCTTGTTCGGACCATGAGTCAGGAAATAAAAGAAATGGCCCCAAGTTCCCGGCGCCCCCTTAATGGGGCAGGGGTACGAAGAATCTCCGGGAGAAAAAACCGGCGACGAGGTTCGCCACCCTTCACGTTCTGTCTCCCGGAGGGGCGAAAAGTGGATTGCGGAAACCCGTCTGGCTACGCTGAAAGTATGTGGAGGAATGAATGATAAGATGGATGAAGTATGCGAAATGATGAATGACAGAGGAATAGATGTGTTATGTGTGAATGAGACGAAACGAAAGGGAAAGGATGCCACTGCACATAGCACGTATACCGCGTATTGGTCTGGTGTAGACGAGACCGAACGGGCATGCCAGGGAGTCGGTTTCATCCTTTCAGAAAGAATTGGTCAATGTGTGAAAGAGTATGAATGTGTAAGCCCGAGGCTGCTATGGATACGAATGAAAGTGGGCTTAAAAAAGCTGTTCCTGCTAGGGGTGTACGCCCCAGACATGTTTAAGCACACTTACATCCGAGAGCAGTTTTGGGACATGGTAAGGATGGTGTTGACAAAATGTAAGGAAAATGAAAATATTATTATGTTAGGAGACTCTAATGGAAGGGTGGGGATGAAGAGGTCTGGTTATGAAAGGATATTGGGAACGTTTGGTGATGAAAGTATAAATGAGAATGGTGAAGACCTCCTCACCGTATGTGTGGAAAAGAATCTTTTTGTGACTAATACTTTTTTCGTCATAAGAAGATTCACATGTATACATGGGAAAGAGGTGATGATAGAAGCATGATAGATTTCGGTAATTGTGGGTGAAAGAATGAGGAGCGCAGTCGTAGATACAAGGGTTTACCGGGGGGCCAACGTAGGGACGGATCATTACTTGGTCTTATGTCGAATTAATGGTCTTTTCAAGCGTTGGCGGCATCGGACATCTGTGTCTACCACTGCGTTACAGCGTATAAGAATAGAGAAGTTACAAGATGAAGATGTGAAAGAGAAGTATAAATGTAGATTGAGAGAAAATATTAGATGTTTGAATGAGTTGTGTATGAATGATTTAGACTTGAATACTGTGTGGGATAATATTAAGAAAGGTTTGGTGGATGCCGCCCGATAAGTATGTGGTGTAAGTAAGAGAACAAATGAAAGGAAAAGTAGTACGTTGTGGTGGGATGATGAGGTACGGGTGGAAGTTGAATCAAAGAAGAAAGCATGGTTAGATTTACTAGCTACCAAAGCTGGTAATTCTTCTGGTATGAATGATGAGATTGAAAGAAAAAAGGCAGAATTTAGACGTCTAAATAAGAGAGTAAAAGAAGTTGTTGAAAGGAAAAAGAAAGAAAGAACGGATAAGAATGATAGAAGGATATCTGATAATTTCCAGGCTAACATAAAAATGTTCTGGAAACTCGTAAGAACTGCCAGGGGAAATACAAAACAGCCTATAATTAATGCTATAAGATACGAGAATGGATGTATTCTGAATGATGAAGAAATTTAAAAGAGGAGGAATACTTTGAAAGCGTGTTTATGAGTGAAGAGTCGTCTGAATTAAATGAACTAGAAATTCCGAAAGTAGTGGAAAGGGGTATGAAGATAGGTGTAGATGAAATAATGAAAGCAATGAAAAGCATGAAAGCAGGTAAGGCAGCTGGATATGATAGAGTATCACTCGAGATGCTAAGAGCTGGAGAGGGAGTGGTGGCAGGCCTGTTGTACACCTTGTTTAATTTATGTTGGGAATTAAAACGGGTACCGGATAACTGGTGTAAAGCAGTTATAGTACCAATATATAAAGGAAAAGGGTCACAGCAGGACTGCAAAAACTACCGTGGTATCAGCTTGCTTAGTATTGTGGGTAAACTGTATGCTAAGGTGTTAATTGAAAGAGTTATGAAAGAAACTGATGCAAAAATTTGGGATGTGCAAGCGGGTTTTAGAAAGGGAATGGGGTGTACAGATCAAATCTTTTCCATGCGCATGATTGCGGAGAAGTTTTTGGCCAAAAACCAGAAAGTTTTTTGTGCGTTCGTGGACTTGGAAAAGGCTTATGACAGAGTGGACAGGAATGTGTTATGGCAAACACTGAACTCATATGGGTTGAGCGCTGGTTTAATACAGGCATTAAGGTATCTTTATAGGAACTCTAGTGCTTGTGTCAGGATCAATGGGGTCTACTCGGACTGGTTTGGCATCCAAAAAGGTGTCAGACAGGGCTGTGTAGCTTCCCCTTGGCTGTTCAACCTATTTATGGACAGGTGTTTGCAAACTTTGAAAGATGAAGAATGTGGGTTAAGAATAGGCGAGTTAACCGTCAAATGCCTTCTGTATGCCGATGATCAAGTCATATTTGCGTCATCGGCGGCTGAGTTGCAAATTATGGTTACATTAATGAACTGGGAATTAAAAGAAAGGGGAATGAAAGTGAACGCAAGTAAGACGAAAGTGATGGTTTTTGAAAAAGAAGAAAGCAAAACGGTATGTGAAATAAGAATAGAAGGAGAGTTAATTGAGCAAGTGGATGAGTTTGTGTATTTGGGATGTGTATTTAGCAGGGATGGTAGATATGATAGGGATATAGAACGACGAGTAAATGCAGGGAATAGAGTGAATGGGGCACTAGACTCTATTATGAAGAACCAGAATGTGTCAAAAAAGGCACGTATGGTAATTCATAATGCTGTGTTAGTCCCTACTTTAATGTATGGTAGTGAAAGCTGGGTATGGCAGAAGAAGCACGAAAGTAGAATAAATGCTGTAGAAATGCGGTCTTTAAGGAATATACTAGGGTTGAATTTGAATGGCATGGTGAGAAATTGCGTGATAAGAGATAAATATGGTATGCAAGATGATGTTGTGACCAGGATTAAGAAAGGAATGCTTCGGTGGTTTGGTCATGTAGAAAGTGTGAATGAGGAAAGAGTGACAAAGCAAATTTATATGGCAGATGTGAACGGCCGAGTCGGCAAGGGACGCCCTAGAAAAAAGTTTATCGACCAAATTGGCGATATTTTGAAAATGGGCCATGTTAGAAGTACCCTTAACCGACGAGCATGTATGCGTAGATATATGGATGTAAAGCAGGCGAAAGAGGTATGTCAGGATCGAATGGGGCTCTGCCAAATGGAAGTCCGTAGTCTCTGCTTACCCCTCTGGGTGACAGGCGTGAGTGTTTATATATATATATATATATATATATATATATATATATATATATATATATATATATATATATATATATATGTATAAAAACATATTAAGGATATCCAGCCTAAAAGCCAGTACGTACCTTGTGTCATTCATAATTTAAATTTGGTGACAAATGATACCATTAGCAGTTCTGTGGTTGCAAGATTTGTATAACGTTTTCGGAAACAACATCAAACTTGTTACGTGCCAAAGGCAAAGTCCGTAGTTACTCTGCCAACCGGTGCATACTCACCTCTCTGGGTGACGAGGCGTGAGTTCTAATTGTTTATACATATATATATATATATATATATATATATATATATATATATATATATATATATATATATATATATATATATATATATATAAACAACTCACTTGCACTTAAAATTAGTGAAATAAATACTATAAAACACGCCCACGCCAACCACATGTATTGAATAGCATAAAATGCGCACATACAAGGTCAGTCCGCCCCCAACTATAAAGTCTTTAAACGGTGATATACTTTATTAGATTCTCTTACGCACTACTGCATGACAAGAGCAATATTTTACCTACAAAAATCATTTTATGTATAAAATATTGCAAGAAATTTTATTTAATTCATATTTATATTATTGTACGAAATTGCGACGAACGTAACGACTGTGTGTAGATCGTTATTTGTCTTAAGACGCTCATTATTATTGTAGTGCGCGGGAATCAAAGAACGGCCGAGTATAAGCGTCACGCGTACACAGAGGAGATGCTCGGCTTCTACATTTTACTCACTGGTAAGTTATGTATCGTTCTCGCTAAGCTGATCCGGAACTAGATCGTTTAAATTGCATTTCTTTGCCCAAGGCGTTGCTTTTGTGTGCAGTTTCAAATCTCAGTAATATTATCGCATGGGAGGATTCTATTTCTTTTTATAGTGGTACAGATTCTTCTAAATAAGAATATTTTACTTATTGTAGTAAGTTAAAAAAGTAGTTATAAACTTTTCACTCAGTATGTAAAGTAACAGGCATTCTCCTTAACCTGACGTTAAAAAAGAGAGGAGGCCCGTGTTCTACAGTGGGATATTTTTCACATTTAATTTCTTCTTAATTTGATATTATAGATCTAAATTATGTTTAGATTAGGCTATGTTGTCGAAAAGTATGTCACCATGTTTCAAAATGTTTATTGCATCAGTTAAGAAAAAAACGAGCAAACCACGCTTTTTTAGCTTACGTGGTATATATAACGTGTTATTAAATGTTTTAAATGTGTTTCTAAGTTAATAAAGTTGTAATGTGTGCGTTTCCGTAAACATTGCTTAAAATATAGCAGTATTATTCAACTTATTTCTTTTTATACTTAATCCTATACTCGCCCATTTTTAATAAATGGTCGATGTTGGAAATTTAAAACAATCTTCTAAAATTCTTACGTTATATTTTCAGCAGTGACA